TTCTCAACCATAATGCATTACATAAATTTGAATGCAAAATGTTCAATTATGAAGTAAATACAGGTAATGCAAATAATAAATTACCTCTAATAAAAATTATAAAAGATGTGTCTTCAAAGAGAGAGCAGCTTTAACTTACAACTGTGAATTGCTTAAAGAGAAAAGAATTAATAAATGCTGAATTACCCTGATGATTATTTAGCACATAATTCACCTATTCATAACGACTCCTAGTAATCAGACTGTTGTTTCACATTCTCCAATATGAGGCAAGACTGTTTCCTCAGCAATTTTACCCTTATCAGATTATCTCGTCTGATTCTATTAATTTTCTTCCATGAATCTGCTAACAGTGATTTGTGATTTACTTACCCTGCTAACTAAAGACTGTTAAAAGGATTTATCTAACACTAGACCTAAGAACACTATATGTCTTATCATTCAGTTACTCTGAGCAACTCTTTCCTCAAATCAATTTAGTTGCTTTCATAGTGAAATTTAGTGACACTGGTTAGTTCTGCACCATAAAATCAGCTCCTGGATAAACAAAGAGTTCAGACACGACACTTGATGGATCTTGTTCTTTTTAGATCATATATGTCTGATTCCAACATGATATACCTGAGTTGCTATAACTCACAATCAGGAAAAATATATTATTTTTAGATTTTCATCATTGTAATTTGGACACGAACAAATTTTTTCTTTCTTTCTTTATTTCTTTCTGCATGAAGTTCTTCTGTAGGTACTGACATGAAACTACAATTGTGTTTTTGATGTTATGGTTTCGCAGTCTTCAACAGGATTCGACCCATCCCCTCCCCCCTCCACATTCTTCTATAAATATTCACTGCTTTCAGAAACTTTAATACTACTGGTTTGAATTGGTCAATAATGACAAACGCATGGTTTCTAAATTGCTCTATATTGTTCTACAGAGATTACTAGAGTATATATAGCAAGGGGATATTAAGCAGTAAGAAAACACAGTTCGCATTGTATTTGGATTAGGCTGGCTTGGAAGAAGTGAAACAAACAATGTTCGCAAAAAAGTCTAAAGAAATGTGGCCTTGCTGTAATTGTAGAGAATCAAAAATCTGAATAGTACTAATTAAAATGAGAGAGCTCAATTGTTACAAAAGAAACGCTGCTAACAGAGAACTGTAAATGTTTAGACACCCCTGTGAATCACTAAATAATAAAGCAAAAAGGACAAACACAAGAATTAAGTTAAAAGAGCACTACTGCTACACGTCTAAAAAAATAATTCTATTCCTCTCTTTTTTTCAAGAGAAAATGGGAGACTGTAAAAGACTGCAATAAGAGAAAGAAAAATACCATGGCTTGACAGCAGTGTACAAAAATAAACCATAAAAAATGTGCAGATAATAATACATTTAGCTGCCCAAACATGGGCATTTAATTTCTAGAAATGATATATAATTGCAACAATTAGGTGGACAGCCATGAATCTGTATCCTGTGGTCTTCATCATTAGCAAACTTTGTTTATAAATGTTGTTTATTTATAAGTGTAGCAGTTTCAGTGTTCCTGGCCAAAAATACTTTCAAGAGAAGCAGGAATCCTATCTTACAGCTTTTAACAAAAATATGATGCAAAATGATAAAAAAAACAATTATTACAAACAAAAAATGAATTAATTCCTCCAAAATACACTTATATTCATATTTTACATGAAAAACATAAACTTCAGATTTTTGTGGCTAATGATTAAAAAGCCCTGGAAAACTATCACTATGGACAATGCTAAGTGACATAATATGTTTATGTAATTTAAGCAGTGGATTTTCCTCTGAATACATAAACTATAATCTCTTAACTTCATTACTAGGTAAAATACTGTTTGAGAGGAGGAAAGCAAAGGAATTCTGTTAGATTGCATAAATATTGACATAATCTTCACTCTTTTTTCCCAACTAGCAATAAATATACTTCATTCCAGCCCTACAAAGTGCTCCCATAAAACCAAAACTATCCTTATAAACAGTTTCTCTGCAGCAATAATGAAAAGGAAAACGTCCTTTTCTGGAAAATACCAATGGCACTGGCCTTTTAGGGTTATGATGTGCCTACAAACCTTTTGGGGAGCCTCTCATTAGGGATTCTGGGTTTGAAGGCTGCCAGCAGCAAAGAAATTAACACAAGTCTAATCTGGTGTAAGAAGCCAATGAGTGACACCTAAAGTCTCATTATAAATCGTAAAGTATGCCATGGGGAGGGTGAGAGCAGTTCTGAAGTGCAATGGTCAAGAAGCTGGCTTAATATATGACTAAGTGTCAGAAGTCAGGTTTTCTGAGAATTACTTTTCAGATAAACAACTTTATAGCACTGCACTTAATCATACTTACTAGAGGCATCTCATTTATCACCGAATTACAAGTAACTTTTATTCTATTGATATTGCCATAAAGCCCGTTCAAAATCCATCCTGGCACTTTTAAAAGGTTTAGGGCCCTGTTACATGGGATTCACTTGCAAAAGTCTCTCAGCAGAATCATATTCTGAAGGCTTCTGTGTCTCCTAGCCTCTTTGTTGACAATCAAGGGGGGCAGTAGGGGGAAAAGGATTCCTGCCCCTGCCAGCACTGTCCTTAGCACCTTTCCCACCAGGTTGGGTTCTCCCACTGCAGTCAAACTCTCTGTGCTTCAGTCCCCCTCCCACCTTGGGAAACCAGCTTCTTTTCGCTTCATCAACAAAACTGGACACGGATCAATTTCAACTGACCTTTGCCGAAAGGTGGCGCTGTTGAGGTAAAAATCCAACAATAGTTTTCACTGGGATTCTTTAGCAGGCTTTTCAGATTTTTTTTTTTTTTTTAAGTGCGCCCTCCTAGCGTCTCCCCCTCCCGTAAAGTAAAATAAATATGATTAACACCAAATGCATTTCATTAATTGGAGGAATCAACAGTCTCAATATCCAAGTAGGCGGGCTGGTCTTCCAAACGCTGGGTCGGCTTGGCTTACGCTTGTATTCCCCCAATAAATCTCGGTTTCTCCGACTTGCCTATCGCTTTAAAATCTTAGAAACAGTTGGTTCTTTCTTTTCTCTTTTCTGCTTCTTTCTTTCCTTTATCTTTTTTTTTTTTTTGCATAAGCTTTAAAAGAATCGGTCTAGAAAACTGAATAGTTTTTAGCATCTGCAACGGGGAGGGGGAGAAACAGCCCCCCACCCCACCCCCACTGTGGGTTTCCGGGCCGGTCCGAGAAACCGCGGTTTAAAACTTAACCCTTCGAGGGGTGCTGGCGAAGGCTGGGGTGTTGTTTCCCCCCAACACATACACCCCCTAGCTCCTCTACACGGCCAAGTCTGAAATAATTAAGTGAAATGTGAAAGTGCAATGGGCACGCGGGACCCTGATAAACAGGGGTCAGATTTCCTAAGGGGGTGGGTGTGCGTGTATGTGTGTGTGTGGGGGGGGGGGAGAATGAGAGAGAGAAAGAGAAACAGAGAGAGAGGAATATGAATATGAATCTCAAAGGCCAAACTCGGGCCAGTGTCGGAAGCCAGAGGACTGAGCTGGGCTGACCCGGCTCCGAGCTTCCCCGGAGTTAACTCGCGTAGGCGTTTGCTCCCCGCAAGGGCACGCGACGCCAGCGGGCAGCCAGTCCCTGCGCGTAATGGCCCCTGGACAACTTATTTCCCCTCCTTCAAAGAGGGCGATAAAACGGGCTTTCTCTACGCGCGGACCCGGAGCCACTCGGGGCTACGCCCGGCGAGGCGGCGTCCTGCGTGCAGTCGGGACCCTGCGCCCCCCGCACCCCTGCGCCCCAGAGCGCGGGCCCCGGAGAGAGGGACAAAGAGTTTGCGCTCTTTGGCTCAAAGGGCCAAGTTTGAGCTCCCCGCACAGCTATGCTCGGGGAAGGCATGTTCCCCGGGCAGACACCTGGGTGCCAAGCAGAAGCAAAGTGGAGAAGATGCGGAGCGAATTCACAGTCCTAGGGATGGGGGCTGTCCGGGAAAGGGAGTCAGGCCAATCCCCGCCGAGCGAGTGGAGGACAAGCCGGCGCTCCGGAAGGCAGGCCTCTCTCGCGCTCCGAAGTAAAGCAAACCGGCCTCCCGGTCCTCCCGGATTCCCGCAGTCCCTCTGGACTACTTCCCCTCTCACACCAAACTTTGCGCCAGGCTTTTCTCCCTCCCCGGGAGGCTGCGGCGCGGGAAGGGTTAAGCCTGCTTGCCCCAGCTGACAGTCAGCTGATTGGGCCCTGATTGACAGCCCCGAAAAGTTTCCTTGTTTCTATCTATTATGCTAATCGCAGCCGCTCTCGCCGCCTCCCATTGGCCCGGAGTACCAGTCAATTTCCCATTTGGGCCTGACGTCACAAGTGCTATAAAACTCAGCAATTGCTTTAAACTCTTCTTGCTGGATCAGAGGCTTTAAAATCTTTTTTCATCTTCGAGCTGTAGCTCGGGCTGCTCTTCGGCTCGGCCTCCCCCTTTCGCTCTCTGCCTCGCCTTTCCCCAGGACTTCGCTATTTTGCTTTAAAAAAAAAAAAAAAGGCAAGAAAGAACTAAACTCCCCCCTCCCTTTCCTCCAGCCGGGCTGCACCTCTGTCTTGCACTTTGCACGGAGAGAGCGCGCGAGGGAGAGAGAGAGGAAAGAAAAAAAAAAATAAAAAGAGCAGGCAGAAGAGAAGGCGAGAAGCATGAAGTGTTAACTCCCCCGTGCCAAGGCCCGCGCCGCCGGACAGCCGCCCGCCGCGCCTCCAGCCCCGAGCGGCCGCCGCGCGCGCCCCGCCTGCAGCCCGGGCCGGCGAGGCGAGCCCTCCTTATGCAAAGCGCGCAGCGGAGCGGCGAGCGGGGGACGCCGCGCACCCGGCCGGGCTCCTCCGGCTTCGCCGCCGCCGCCACCGCAGCCCGCGGAGGACCTTCCCGAGCCTGAAGCCGCCGGCTCGGCACGCACGGAGGCGAGCAGGCGAGGAGGGGCCGGGGCGAGCGAGCGAGCACATTGGCGTGAGCAGGGGGGAGGGAGGGCGGGCGCGGGGGGCGCGGGCAGGGCGGGGGGTGTGTGCGCGCTCGGAGGTTTCGGGCCAGCCACCGCCGCGCGAGCTAGAAGCGCCCCAGCCCGGCAAGCTGGCTCACCCGCTGGCCACCCAGCACAGCCCGCTGGCCCCTCTCCTGCAGCCCATCTGGCGGAGCGGCGGCGGCGGCGGCGGCGGCGGTAGGAGAATGGCATCAGAACTGGCAATGAGCAACTCCGACCTGCCCACCAGTCCCCTGGCCATGGAATATGTTAATGACTTCGATCTGATGAAGTTTGAAGTGAAAAAGGAACCGGTGGAGACCGACCGCATCATCAGCCAGTGCGGCCGTCTCATCGCCGGGGGCTCGCTGTCCTCCACCCCCATGAGCACGCCGTGCAGCTCGGTGCCCCCTTCCCCCAGCTTCTCGGCGCCCAGCCCGGGCTCGGGCAGCGAGCAGAAGGCGCACCTGGAAGACTACTACTGGATGACCGGCTACCCGCAGCAGCTGAACCCGGAGGCGCTGGGCTTCAGCCCCGAGGACGCGGTCGAGGCGCTCATCAGCAACAGCCACCAGCTCCAGGGCGGCTTCGATGGCTACGCGCGCGGGGCGCAGCAGCTGGCCTCGGCGGCCGGGGCCGGCGCCGGTGCCTCCCTGGGCGGCAGCGGCGAGGAGATGGGCCCCGCCGCCGCCGTGGTGTCCGCCGTGATCGCCGCGGCCGCCGCGCAGAGCGGCGCGGGCCCGCACTACCACCACCACCACCACCACCACGCCGCCGGCCACCACCACCACCCGACGGCCGGCGCGCCCGGCACCGCGGGCAGCGCGTCC